AATGGGAGCAAAGTGCAGAGAAAGAATCTGAATGAGCTCAGAGGGAGAGTAAATGGCCCCTCTGTGCTGAGGTCCTACCCGGCTCGGTCTTTTTCCCATAGGGAGCAGCTTGACCCAGCTTCCTGTAATGATGTGGGAGCTGGGTCAGACTTCCATCACAAAGCATGATAGACATGTTCTCACGGTGCTAGGACGCTAGACACTTAGCTGGCTCAGCTGATGGGTGAAAAAGTTGGTTGATAGAGTCCTACCTTGGTCAGGAATTCTGACTCCATCCCTGTGGCTGTAACTCTGGGAAGCATTCAGGATTGCCATATCTCTTTCGGCTGTGAAAGAATAACAATTTGTTTGTTAAGGCCTGTTAGATCTCTCAATGGGAAGAAATGTCTTGGCAGAAGGAAAGTGTGTGTGGGGGGGTAGGGGAATAGGAAGGGGGTTGTCAAAAACAGAGACAAGGTCTTGCCATTGGTTCATTTGTCTCTCCAAAATATCAGGATCTGCTACTGGTTATTATGGACACGTCAGTCTCTGTGGCCGTCAGACACTTTCTTGAAAGTTAAAACATTGATATCAATTTTCCCATCCCATCAGAGCAAATTTCTGTAGTTCTTGTTGAGTTTAGAAATATACCTGTGCTGGAGTGAACAGTATTTTAAACCTGATTTTCTAGCAGTATTTGAAACCAATCATTGGGCAATTCTGATACTCCTGTGGGTTGGGATAGAAGGCTAAATTAAAATGCTACTCCTATTTCACAGATGAAGAGATTGAGACATGAATTGGGGAAATAACTAGAATCATATAGTCAGTAGGAAGAGAGACAGAGATTATGTATAACTCATTGGTGTCTGCCCAAATGCTTAGACCATTAGGAATATCTTCCTAAGTGACTCTTTTGGAAATCACAGATAGTGGAGTTCTAAAACCAGAAATGGTGCCTTCATTTATACCAATTTGTGGTTAATGATAATGTTGGGGTGAGGGAAGAGGGGGAAGGAGAAAACCCTGTCATTAAATATAAATATCTGTAGCAGTGGCTAGAAATTGGTTTTAGCTCTTTGTTCAGGGCAGACAGTATTATTCATTCCTATCCCAGTGTGCCAGTTTCTTTTCAGAGAATTTGAATTGAAAGTAAGTCATCTAAATACTGGTTTGGAGAAGTCATCTACCATCCCCCTGTCCCTACTCAGACTTTTATCTAAACTAGGAGTTTTTAACCTTTTTCATGTGTGTAACATGGACCCATTTGATAGTCTGGTGAAGCATATAATGTTTTTGAGTGCATAAGATAAAATAAATAGAATTCTAAAGGAAGCCAATTATAGTGAAATACGATTATAATATTTTTTTGAGACAATTTTGGTTAAGTGACTAGGGTCACGCAGCTTGTAAGTGTTTGAGGCTAGATTTGAACTCAGGTCCTCCTGACTCTCGGACCAGTACTCTCTCTACTGTGCCACCTAGCTGCCCCCTATCAAAATACTTTTTTAAAAAGTTCACAGATCTCAGGTTAGGATCCCTACACTAAGCCATCCCAGATAGGCAGTAGTTTCTCCAGTTTAATCCAATAGTTGAACAATTTAACACTCTCCATTGTTCTCCTAGGAAAGGAAGTCTATAACTTCCCATGTTAACAAGCACACTTCTTTGATGGGAAAAAGTTTCCATTGATCTATAGTTTATCATTCAATGAGACTGGCAGTAGCAATGCCAAGGGAGAGTAGCAATAGGATTTACTGATTGATTAATATAGCAATAATTGGCATTTATGTAGATTATCGCATTTGAGCTTCATGGAAACACTGGGAAGTGTTGTTATTCTTATTTTATAAATGAGGATACCAAGGCTAAGACTGGCCTGTGCCCATAGAGCTAGTAAGTATCAAAGATAGGATTGGAATCCATATTTTCCTGACTCCAAGTCCAGTGGTCTAGCCACTATAATATGCTGCCTTGAAAATTCTAGTTAAGTACCCATGAAATGCCTCGAATCCCTTACTTTCAAAAGAAAACTCTATTCCTTTTAAGTTTAACAGGGAAGAAAACATTCAACTTATTTGACAAACCGCTTAGTGGATTTTTTCAATACATGTACACTAACTCAGACTGAGTCTGCCTGTAGGGAACAGACAGCAAGAAATGATCCCATTTAGGTGACGATCAGGAGGACTGAACTCATAGATCTCCCAAGAAAATGGGGATCAGCTGGTGTTCTGAGTCTTATTATTCATAGCATCTCATGGCCCCTCAATGCTATCCTAAGCAGAACTAGAGAAATTGTGGATGTAAAAGACGTACTAACTATCATCTTCTCTGTTGCCTAGGAAGCTGGCAGGGAAGTTTTATAATATTTTCCTGTGGGCTTTCCATTACATTTCCTGGGAAACTGTTTCTCATTTTAATAGTCCTCAAAATTAGGAAAATCTTCTTCATCCATTAGTGGTACTTCTTTGAATCACTAATTTCTGTTTTGCGCTCCATCTGTCCCCTTCTCTCACCAACAGACATCTGTCTATACTGAAAAATTTGGTTGCGTCACCTCCTTCCCTACATGTTAAAACAACGAGGAAAACGTCTTTGCTTCAGTGTGTAGGCTGGAAAATTCAGAAGAATTCTTTTTTTCCTCTTATACACTTGACAGATGTGCTAGGTTGAAAAGGTCCCCTTGCCCCCCAATTTCTTTTGAGCAATCAGCCTGTGCAGGAAAATCTGAGAACAATGTGTGGAATCTTTGGGGCTGTAATTAGCACATCATGTTGCAGCTGAGGATGACGAGTAACACTGGGGGCTAATGCTAGGGTTCCTGGGGGTTCTCATCTTCCAGTCTCCAAAAACAAACATTGTAAAGGAAGGTTTTGGGCAGCCCTTCTGTGGTTTATGGCAAGAGTTTGTGGGCTATTTTGCATTGATTCAAAACTTCTTTGGAAAGTCATCTGCACTCGATTTGTGCCCCAGAAGATTAGTGAGATGAAAGGGACAGGGAGAGAGGAGGAGTTAACTTTTACAGCTTTGTTTTTGACCAGAAAGGGGGAGTTTTTGACAGTGGCACGCAGTAGGTGCTTACTTGCTGGAAACGAACAAATGATTTGCAAATAACTCCCAGATCTCTATATCTGACCTTAATCTCTCTCATGAGTTCCACTTCTCTATTTGTTGGATATTTTTAAATGGATGTCCCCAAAACATCTCAAACTCAACCTTTCCAAAACTATCTAGTCTAATCCATAGAAACTGAGGCCCAAAGAATTGGCGTTATTTGCTCAAGATCATGTTAGCAGCAGAACCGGAACCAGGCTATGGTTAATGCTGTTTTCATATTTACATACATTCTGTTCTCTGCTCTTTTCAGAATGGATACAAATACAGTTCCTTCTTTGTAGGAACTTTTATTCTAAGGTCTTGATGGATATAAATGTGCCATCTAAATTTCCTTTTGAATTTATTTCTTATTGAGTCTCCCCTCTCCAACCCTCTAATCCCTCTGCTTCTTATCTTTCTTGTCACTGTTGAGAGTACCACCATCCTCCCATTTTTCTAGGATTGTAACTTCAATGTCCTTCTTAACTCTAATGCAAATAGTTGTCAAATCTTATTATATCTATTTCTATGACATCTCTCATATACATCTCCTCCTCTCTGCTCAGACAACTAACATCCTAGCTCAGGACTTCATCACTTCTTGCCTGGACTGTGGACATAGACCTCTAACTTTTTTCTCTGTCTGAAGTCTCTCCCCACTCTAATCTAGCCTCCACGCAGCTGCCAAAATGATCTTTCTGAAGTACAAATGTGACTGTGCCACCCTCTCCTCAATAAATAAACTCCACTGGTTTCTTAATGACCTCTAGAATAAACTATAAACCTCTCTTTTTTGGAATTTAAAGTTCTTTATATCCTAACCCCTTCTTATTTTAATGGTCTTCTTATCCATTACTCCCACGCATGCACTCAACAGTTCCTCATAAACAACACTCATCTCCATCTCCATGCATTGGCTATCCTCCATGTCTCATGGAACGCACTTTCTCCTTGCCTCTGCTTCTTGAAATCCCTGGTTTCCTTCAATTTAGCTCAAGCACAATTTACTATAGAAGCCCTTTCCTCCCTCCCCTCCCCACCCTGGTTGCTAGTACCTTTTCCTCTATGGTTACTTTGTCTCTACTTTGTATGGATCTTGTGTATACCTATATGTCCATGTTGTTTCTCCCATTAGAATGTAAGCTCCTTGAGGGTAGACAATATTTTTCTTTTTTTTTTTTGTATCTCTAGCAATTAGCACAGTGCCTTACACATAATAAGTGCTTAACAAATGCTTGTGGATTTATTTATTAATTAATTCACATCCTCCAAAATTCCCCAGGCAACCCAAGTTAGTTGCAGAATTCTACTTCTAAGAGGATAGTGTGTTAATTAGTAATTGGTAATTTTCAATTGTTATTGCTAGGTTAGTACAGGAGTAGAGTTTAAAATGTAGTTGTTCATTTTAAAAACCTGTAAGTTACATGTCAATGTAATCAGGTTCTGATCCATTTCAACTTGATAGGAACCTAGAGTTATAGAAAAACAGAATGGGGAAATAGTTTGTAGTACTCAGAGGAAATGAGTTGTGAACTTCTATCCATTGCTTGAGGTTAAGAGTCTGTCATCAGTCTCCCAGGGCCATAGGTCCCATGATGGCAGTGGAAGCAGGGCAGCTAATATCTGGCTTCAACGTCCTGTTCTGGAAAGCTACCAGGGGATAGTGGACCCATGTGTTGTGTCATTTCCTTGGAAATTCTTGAAATCCATGAATGAGGACTGGGGGGAGGGGTGCCGGAAGACCTAGGTTTGAGTCCTAACTTTGTCACTTACTGGCTGTGTGATTGTGGGCAAATCAGTTGACTTCTCTGGTCCTCAGTTTCCTCATCTGTAAAATGTGTGGTAGGGCTGGACACAGTGGCCTCTAACTCTGCCACTCTATGGTCCTGTGACTCTTTTTTTATTTCCTCCTCTGGATACAGGCCTCCAGGAAGAATCTATTCTCCTTGGCTCCAAGGAAGCGCATGATGGGTTTCTACCATATATTTTATTTCCCTTTGGGGCTCCTGCTCTGGTCCATATTACAGACAGCATCAGCTCCAGCAACTCCTGACCCCGTCATCTGCAGCAATCAAGAGAAGCAGGTTATGTTTAGCCACACCTACAAGATTGATGTACCGAAGTCCTCCCTGATCCAGGTGGAGGCTGATCCTGAACCACTCAGAGATGAGGGGGGAACGCTGCTCCTCCCTGGGGAGGCCGGTGAAGATCAGAATATCATCTTCCGGCACAATATCCGCCTTCAGACCCCAAAGAGAGACTGCGAATTGTCAGGCAGCCTCCAGGACCTGTTGGCCCGGGTGAAGAAGCTGGAGGAAGAGATGGCAGAGATGAAGGAGAAGTGTGGGACTCAGCAGTGCTGCCAGGGAGCCCCAGGTGAATGCATGTCTTGTCTTCTGATGGATGGTTCCATTGTGATCCATGGTCCATGATGCCTGTGGCATTCCTAGTCGTTGCTCTTGGGTCTTCATGGTGCTGTGGTCCTGTGCATAGACAGGAGCTTCATGGGTAACAGCTCCTGGGAACCTAAGCCGGGTGAGGGCCAGGTTCCAGAGCTCTGAAATTGCCCTGAAGCCTCATAAGGATTTCAGTCAAGAATTATCCAGCTACATATTTAGTTCATGACCTCCCTATCAGGAAGTCTCATTAGTTCTCTGGAATCATGGTGGATTGTTTTTTAAGTTTTTAAGTCTTTCTAAGCGCTTCCCTTTTAGGATATGGCCAAGTGGGAATTTGTTTTGCTTAACTGTATTACAAGGGTTTTCTTGGAGCAAAGGGAAGATGGGGAAGAGAGAAAATAAATGTTTGTTAATTGAAAAAAATCCAATTTAGTAACTATATATATATATGAAAAAAGAATTCCCCAACTGGTCATACAGTTAGCTATGTGGCATAGGGGACAAAAGGCCAGACTTGGAGTTAGGAAGATCTACATTTAAAACTTGGCTCAGATACTTACTAGACACGTGATCTTGGGCAAGATTTTTAACCTTTCTCAGCCTCAGTTTCCTCATCTATAAAATGGGGATAATAATCACACCTGTCACACAGGGTTGTTGTGAGAATAATTTGAGATACAGAATGTAAAGCACTTTTCAGACCTTAAGGTGCTACATAAATGTTCGCTATTATTATTCCCTACAAATCCAGCCTTAGCCCCAAGGAAGATGTTAACAGTCTGAATTACAAACAGTAATAGAGTTCTATTTTTTAATTAAAAACACAAAGAGGCCCCAAATGTTCACTCAGATATTATATGCCGTTTTGCATATTATTTTATTTAAAATGTAAATGCTGTTTATTTCATTCAGATAAAGCTTGCTTAGAAGTCTCTTAGAGCTGGAAGGGATCATAATATACCTCGCCCTGTTTGCCTCAGTTCTTCAACTGTAAAATGAGCTGGGGAAGGAAATGGCAAACCACTCCAGTATATCTGCCAAGAAAACCCCAAACGGGGTCACAGAGAGTTGGATACGAATGAAATGACACAATAACAATAACAACAACAACAAACAACAGTAACAACACCTTCCTCATTTTCAAAAATAAGGAAACAAAGCTGGGAAGGTGAAACAGCTTACCCAAGGTTACAGCAGGGCTCAAATTCAAACCCAAGTTTTCTGGCACTCCTTCCATTGGGCCACACTGCCTTGCCTCCAGTGGACCTTGTTGCTTTCTCCATAGTGTCCTATGGCCTTCCTCCTCCAAATTTGTCCAGTTGTTAACTCTTTTCCCCGGGGCTCCATCATCCTTGGCTTCTTTATCTACAATGCTACCCACCACCTTGTGATGTCAATATGGTTGGATTCTGCTTAGAGTTAAGACAGAGGACTGGACAGAGGCAACTTGGTGGGAGGGCAAAGTAAGTGTGGGGAAACAGTATGAATAAAAAGTGGTACTTCAGGGGCCACCATATCTCTGAGAAGGTAGAGTAAGTCACAGACCCTTTCCCAGCAAATTAATATGAGTGGGGGTGTGTGGGTGGGGGTAGTCTATTTTTGGTGGATTACTCAGTACTCATGCTATTTCTGAGTCCTCATGTTTCTGAAGGAGCTAAGCTTCCTTCCCTCTCTCATCCAGTCCCTCCCCCACCCCATCACCACCTTGGCTGAGATCTGCCCCCTAGTTTTCTGTTCTTTCCTTAGGGTCCTAAAGGGTAGGTACTTGCCTGGAGGCCCAGACTCAGAGAACAGGCATTTCTTGGTAACTGAGGCAGGAAGTCTCTTTCTTTTAGTTCCAAGCTCTGGGTTTTAATGATGAGAGATGCCTTGTCTAGGTCATTTGGTTCCACAGTTGACTGGCTGCCTATCACTGTGCTCCATGCTATGGTGGTCTATCTTTTTTCGTCTTGGGGCCCAATTAGATTCCTGTCTGACTGAAAGTTAACAAAACCTACCTTGATTATTTAAGAGGTGGAAAGAGAGGTAGAATAGCATCCCTAATATAATGCACATGGAGTCATTGTACATGGGGTACAGATGTTCCAAAAGGAAGGGAAGATGGGCATAGTCCACTTTGGAAACTCATTGTAGGAAGAAAGGGAGGCAACATAGGAAGCAGGAGAGGGCATGAGAGGATAGGAAGTCATGGAGGTCTTGACCATGTGCAATATGGCAGCAAGGATGAGGGCCCACAGTTAGAGATTCAAGACTTTATTTACACTGTTAATCTGCCCATCACTTACCTCTGACTATAGACACAGTGAAAACTGACATCTGTGGGAAAAAACCCCAGTACCTGCTTAATCCCCCCAAAGATATGTTTATCCCTGGATAACCGTGGGATTTAGAATAGGAAGGGACCTTTGGATTCATCTTAATCCATTACTCTCATTTTATACGCGAGAAAACCAAGGCTCAGGAAAGGAAAGAAACTTTCCCATCGACGCAGAGGTAGTAGGCAGCAGGGCTAGATTTTGAATGCAGATCTTCTGTCTCCGGAGCCAAGGTTCTTTCTACTCTATTATACAGCCACATGGCTGTTTTGTACCATCTTCTAGTTGGGTCAGAACCACCATCCTTGACTTTTATTTGGCCTTAATTCAGAGAGCAAGACTCTAGCCTTGAATAACCCAGCTTTATATAACAAGGAAAAGCAGGATTCCTTGCTTCATGAACCAGGAGACCCGAAATCTAATTAAACTTTCAGTCTTGGGGAAAATTAGCCCCTGCCTCTTTCTGTGATTAAGTTCTTCTTTGTATTATTCTACTAGGTCTAGTGATCTAACATCTTTCAAAGCAGTTAGAGTCCCTTTTGCAACAAGCAGAAAATAAGAAAACCTAGAGTAAGAATAAGAAAGTTATTGGATCCTAATCTTGTCACTGCCACAGCTGTGTGACTATGGACTCTATTTAATCTTTCTGATGCTCAGGTCTCTCATCGAAAAAACATTAGGATAACTACGCTGCTTACCTCATAGCATGTTGTATGGATCAGATGAGCTGATGCATAAGAAAGCACTTTGAAAACTTTAAACTAGGGCCATGTAAATCTAAGGTATGAGGATTAGTCCTATGGTTTCTCTGGAATAGTGACCTCCCGGATGAGGAAACTCCCTCACTCTCAGTGCAGCTCAGCACTTCCTCTCGAATAGATCACCTTAGAGAGTTATTAGAGCATTGACAAGTTCAATCACTTGCTGAGGGTCACAGAGCCAGTATATGTCAGAGGTGGAACTCCAACCCAGGGATTCATCATTCTAAGGTCAGCGCTCTATCCCTTATATCATATTACATCTCATGAAAGTGAGTTATTATTATTATTATCGTTATTATAATGTATTATGGATTTACCATAAGAGGCAACCATTGTGTAATGGATAGAGAACTGACCTTGGAGTTACAATTCTCTGTTACTATATGTTGTAGGGTAGATGCCGGTCTATATTGGCACTATGAGTTTCCTCGCTGGGATTTCTCCAAACAAACAAAATCACAGGTCTGGGCGCCTGTTACCACTCCCTCCCCCCACTAAAAAAAGAGAATCATAGAGAAGGAAAGCATCAGGAGAATTCATATAATTGTTACCTGGAGTGAGAAGAAACGGGGAAATGAGATGGTTTGTCTAATCTTACGTTGGAGAACTGAAGAAGTGGACTGGGTGATGGGTTTTGGGGGAGTCTGAAATAGGTTGGTTTCAGGCTTTGCTTCATCACTCCCAATTAACCACTGTTTACTTGAATCTAGCACCCACCTCTGGCTCCAAAGCATATCTGAATCAATGTCGATAAATAGAAGAGATGAATGTTATTTCTCTAAGATTTCCAGGGAAGAAGATTCTCAGGTCTCCCTTGGTGTTTCCAAATCATCATTATTTGTTTTTTCTTTTCCCCATCTCCCCACTTGCCCCTCCTTCTTTCTTTGTTCTTTGGAACCTGATACTTTTCTGCTCAGGCCTCAGCAACCTCTGCAGTGGGCATGGAGTTTTCACCCAAGACATTTGTGGGTGCAGGTGTGATGAAGGCTGGGAAGGCCCTGACTGCTCCCGCCCCAGCTGTCCTGGGGGGTGCAGCGGCCATGGGCGATGTGTGGATGGCCGATGCGTTTGTGATGAGCCCTACATTGGGGAGGATTGTGGCTACCTGCCCTGCCCTGAGAACTGCAGTGGGAATGGAATCTGTGTGAGGGGCGTTTGCCATTGCCATGAGGATTTCACATTGGAGGACTGCAGTGAGAAGAGATGTCCCAATGACTGCAGTGGCCATGGCTTCTGTGACACAGGAGAGTGTTACTGTGAGGAGGGCTTCACCGGCCTGGACTGCTCCCAGGGTGAGAAGCATCTCTTCCTAGGCTATTCCTATTCCAACTTTTCCTCTCTTCCTCCATCCTTCTCTACTTCCCTCTTTTCTCCCTTCCTCCTTCCATTTCTCCCTCCCTTCTTCCTCCCCTCCCTCTCTGCCTCTCTCCC